GGTCATACAGGCATCTCTTGCAACAGGAAGTAAAGCTGTTCATCCTCTGATACATTTTGCACCCGCTTTGGCAAGCACTTTTTGGTTCCCTAATTCCAGCTGCAAACTGCACACACAAATTATGTTCCTTCTTCATCATTAAGCAACACACCAGCAGTTGAGACACTGAAACCGTTCCGGAGATTTTCCACAGGACTTTCTAGACTGCAAACTAAGCACACTACTTCCTTCCTTCTTTGCCACTAAGCAATGCATCTATGGGTGAGATACTGAAACATGTTTAAGGGATTTTCCACAGGACTTTAACATTAAATTTTCACCAGCACTGTGAAAACTAGAGATCCAAAGATGGTGTAAAATAGCCTCAATGCTTGTCCTAAAAGAAAGAAGTTCTAAGAATGCTCTCAATGATTGTTTGGAGGTAGGTGCTGGATGAAGGGCACCTCCATTTTGAATTACACTTTAATTAGTACTGCTGCCTCATTTGAAATTCTTTTTGTGTAATATCACCTATTCCAAGTAACCAGAGCTTTAACAGAGCCAATGCTGCATTATATTTTCTTCTCATCTACTAAGCTTCCCCCCAGTTCTCCAGAAGAAAATGCTAATGGCCAAAATCACACCTATGGAAATTCTTCCAGACTGCAAGCAAATATCTAGCAACTTTAAGACTGCATCAATCAGTTTAAGAATCCTAGTTTAACTTTCATTAGATTTCATGATTTGGAAAAAAAGACAAGCTTACTCAAGTGCTCCAATTTGCTGTCTTCTGATTTAGCCCTAATTCTCACTCTTCTGTCAGTTGCAATAACTGCATTAGCTATCTGATTACAGAAACCTATTAACAAAATGACAAATGAGAATGTAGTAACAGTTCTCTTTCCTTCTGTCACCCACTTTCCTACCCTAGAAAATACCTGTAAATAAGGAACAATTGTTTCTAGGAGAGTTCAAACTCAGAGCCTGCTGTGCCTAAATCAAACGTCATGACCACTACTTCAGGGATGCACTTATAAAATACTTCAGAACTACAACATGGAATTAGTTGTAAAATCAATTTAAATTTAAATTTGTTATTCTTCAAATATATGTCACGCATGACTAGTTACTTTAAGTTTACTGTATTAATCTAATGGGCACAGTTATTTGGGTAAACCTGCCCTTAATTTAATATGACCCTCATTAAATTAAGCAATTCTGGAATTTGTCGTTTTAACCAGAACAACAGCTCTATGGAGGCCGATTTTAATAGACCATAACAGAGAAAAATTGGTTAATTACAAAGGATACATGTATCTTCATTTTCACAGGCTATTTAAGGCTTACATTGCTTTGAAGCATTGGATTGATACATAAATCAAACAGGATAAACATTAAAAATGTCTGCCACAAGTTAAAGCCAATGAAATTGTTCCATACCAAGCTGCTGCTCCCAGTGGGAAAAAAAAAAAAATCCTTGCAGACTGAATTAACTGCTCAGGAAAGCAGCACCAGCAAGTCAAGAAATTTATCTGTGCAAAAATCAGAACTGTCGTTCTCTCCTCATCTGAAGTAATTATGATCAAAACCAGAACGCTGCAAGGTGACCATCTCACCTGCACACATCTACCGTTCTGGCAAATCAGTTTTGTTCCTGATGTATTCCTCCATTCCACAGCAATCGTTCACACTTGCACACTTTCCCTGGAGGATGAAATTCAAGGTAATTAGAAACAGACAAGTCCTCCAGGGTAAAAAGAGGTTTTTGCAGGACCCATGGAAGGGTAAAACCAAGGTATGATGATGCCTAGCACAGACCAGGCAGCTAATGTGAGGTAACTTCATGTGCTGACATTGGATACTTAATCTTTCAATGTGGTTCCTGAAACCAAATATTGAACAGTGAGCTGAATGCAGTACAACTCCAGGGCAATGGGAAGCAAGCCTGAAACAACGCCTTCTATTGTTACACACACTGGACTTTGTGTATGTTGAAGAAATGCTGCACATCTGTTCCGTGCAGAGTATTGCCCTTCAAAGTCATGTAAAATTAACCACGCCTGTACCCCCTCTCTCCCCCTCTTTCCAAGCACAAAGATTAGATTTACAGAAGTAAATTTTCACCAACAGCACCGATGACTTTTATAAAGGCTCTTCATTACACTGTACCAGACACACCTTCACCATTGCTTTAATCCAGTTTTTACTAAGAACAGTACTTTTGTATTTAACCTAGTTTAGGAGTAATATGTTACCAGAAATCCCCAATTAATCCCATCAGTTTTTCAAAGCAGTCAAAGATCACCTAATAAGGCATGAAATGCATTACTGTGACTAATATATAAGCTACCTTAAAGAAAACAATCAAAAGGTAAAGAACTGGATCCACTTACAAAATGTCAACCTGACGTTACAGAATCATACAATATCCTGAGTTGGAAGTATCACTGAGTTCAACCCCAGGCCCCACAAAGGACCACCCAAAAGTCAAACTCTATGTTTGAATGCGTTGTTCAAATGCTCCTTGAACTCTGGCAGCTTGGGGCCACGACCACAGCCCTGGGAAGTTACTTTACAACTGTTCCATGCCCACTGCCCTCTGGTGAAGAATCAAGAGTACAGATGACCCTTCTGGCTGCCAAGGCACACTGCTGATTCACATAAAACTTGCCGTCAAGCAGAACACCACATCCTTTTCTGTGGGGCTCCTCTCCAGCTTCATGTCCCCTAGTTTGTATCTACAGCCAAGGCTGCCCTATCCCAAGGGCAGAATCCAGCATTTGCTCTTGTTAAGCATCACATGATGGCAATTGCCCAGCCCTCCAATTTGTCAAGATCACTCTGCAAGGCCCCTCTACCCTCAAGGGAGTCAACAATCCCTCCTAGTTTAGTATCATTTACAAACTTACTTTATATACCTTCAAGTACATTATCAAAGTCATTGATGAAAACACCGAAAAGAACAGTCCCTAAAATGGAGCCCTGAGGAACCCCACCAGTGCCTGGCTGCTAGCCTTGTGCATACACAACATTTACAACAGCCATTTGTGCCCAAACCATCGGCCAATTGTTAACACACTGCATTCTGCTTTTGTCTAACTGCGTGTTGGATGTTTTGTTCAGAAGAAATTGTGAGAAACAATAAACTATAGTAAGCTTTGCTAAAAATCTGAAAAGATTGTATCAACTGGCTTCCCTTAGTCAACTTAATGGGTAACCTTGTCATAAAAGGAGATTAAGTTTGTTAAATAGGGCTTCCCCCTCATGAACCTGGACAGGCTGTGATCAATGACAGCACTGATCAATGACTGCACTGTCTTTCAGATGTTTTTCAGTAAGCCCCAGAACAACCTTTTCCCTAATTTTGTCAGGCACCAAAGTGACAATGACAGGACTATTATTACCAAAGTCTTCTTTTTTGCCCATCTCGAAAACTAGGACAACATTTGACAGTTTCCAGTCTACTGAGACCTCTCCAGATTCCAAAGACTGTTGAAAAACAATCGAGAGACATCTCACAATGACATCAGCCAACTCTTTCAGTACCCTGGCACGAATCCCATCGAGCTCCATAGACTTATATGCATCCAGCTGGAGCAGCAAGTCCCACGCAAGTTCAGGGTTTCTATCACCTGTGTGGTACTCCCAGTTAATGGCTGACAAGTTGAAGTCACCCATGAGGAGAAGGGCAGTTGATCTAGAGGTGTCTCTGAATTCTTTAGAGAATAATTCATCAACATCACTGTCCTTACTGGGTGGCCTAAACTCAAACAATGGGTTTACATTGAATTTGTTGACCCTTGTAGGTCAATTCTCCCCTTTTCTCCTTTCACCCGAAGGGAAGAGTAGCAGAAGCGAAGTGAGGATTTAAGAGGATAAAATCCCCCTTGAAAGTCCTGTGATTCAACACAGTCACTCCACTTTTCCTCTTACTAATTATAACTTCTCTTTCCACCAGTTATCTGGGAAATACAGGCAGTTCCAGCTCTTGGCTTGTCAACAGCACTAAGGATTTTATTTCTCTGGGTACACATAGTTTCACTTAGTACCTGTGTATCTTTCATATATTAATCATAAATGTACCCATAACTCCTTCCATGCATCTGGAAAGCATTATGCAGGGATCACTGCAAAAATAAACCTTCAGAGCTCCAGTCTGCTGTACAGCAGTTGCTAATACAATGATCACATTACTTAGTTCCAGTTTTCAATTCTCACACACCTGAAGAAGGTGGTTCCTCCAGAAAATGCCCATCTCCCAAGGCAGTGATTTCCATTTTGCCAATATACAATAATATCACTCTATATCTGTGGTTTATCCTAAGCCCTGTTCGTGCATACGGTAGCAAACAGCACATGTGCAGAGATGGGAGTAGTGAAGAGAGCAAAGCTATAAAGAAACACCAGTATTTTCAAGAGCGCTACGAGCACCTGGTCAGCCACAGTGACACACCCAGCCTGTTCTCTTGTTACATCCCAACCTGGTCGACTTGGAGCATAAGAAGCCCCTGACTTTACCTGGGTTCTTTCACTTGCCAGAGCAAACATAATTCTTCAAAATCACCACTTAAAAATATCCTGGTTTCATTCACCAGAGCATAGCAAGAGAGAATTTCTATTTTGACTCATACAGATAGACACACCTTGCTGACTAGACGCATTAGACATCGCATATCAAATGAAAATTAACTTACCAGACAAGACAACCGAGAGAATAACAATAAAAAAGGCTTGAAAAATTAATTGCTTTTCAGAAGTGCAATGAATACGCTAGGAAATCATACCAAATGAGTATTTGACTTGGCACCTAAGAGCAGCTGTATTTTTCTTTTTGGCTCTGGGCTGTCGTTTCTTGCCACAAAATATTTAAGTTTAAACATATGTTCAGTTATAGATCTTGAGAAAAATACCTTGGGAAAATGTAAACTAAAACAAAAGACCGTGTTCCTTTCCCAGAACTAAAAAACCAACATAAATCACCATCGTATCCATTTAAGCATTTAAGTCAAATTAATATTTACCCATGAGCTGGATCCAAAGCTATTGCCCTGGGCTGATCAAGGTCTTGCCAGAAGAGGACTTTTCTAGATGTTCCATTGAGATTAGCGACTTCTATCCTATTGGTTTCTGAATCTGTCCAATAAAGTTTTTTCCCAATCCAATCACATGCCAGGCCATCCGGGGAAACCAGACCAGAAATGATGACATTCTGCACCACATTCCCAGTTTGGTTAATGTAAGTTTGCTTGATGGCTTCTTCGCTCACATCTGTCCAGAAAACGATGCCTTGCGAATACTGGAAGTCAACCGCAGCAGCATCCTCTAAACCACTGACCACCACAGTGGACTCCAACTTTGTGCCTCCAGCATCCACGAGTCGAACATCCCGACGGTTGGCAAAAAGCAGGAAGGGAGACGCTACAGAAGAAAAAACAAAAACATATCAGTATTATTGGCATCTACAGACATTAGAGTGCTCAGTATAAATACATCAGCAGGGCAGGCACTACAGAAGCAGCAAGGAAGAGAAAAATGCACAACACCCAGAGCCTATTGCCTCTATTCATCAGAAAAAGGAGTAGAAGACACGGATGAGCAGACCCAATTTCTTACCCACAACAGGGCCTTCAGACAGAGGCCCTTTGACAGTTCAGGACAGACTAATTTAGAACTCATTCTTACATATTAGCAGGTGAGTCGAGCATTTAAGTAAGTAGAGACCAACACAGGCAAGGTATTTACAAGTGTTAATGTTGACATCTTGTCTATACAGAAAAACAAAACCAAAACTCTTCGCTGCTGTACACACAGTCCCCAATTAAACTGTGAGTGCCCAAATCCCTTGGCATGGATTCTTTCAGATAATTCACGACCCAGGTTTAGAACAAATTCTGCATGGTTTAAAGCTTCTCACAAAGTTGGAAAGACACACAGAAGACAAGTCCTGACACCTTTTTAGTAGCAGGCTGGAAGCTAGCAGCACTAGGTACCACAAACTGAAATGCTTGTACCAAATGCCTACCAAGCTCCTCCCACCCCGCATAGTATTACAAATCTCTAGGAAAGAGAGAACAAAAGTGGGTCTTTCAGAAGACCCACTACAGATGGGGAGTGAGGTAAGGGATAGATTTTGGCAAGGGCATGATTCAATCCCACTGCTTCTTTCAGAAGAGGACATTAAACAGGCCTGTCGCTGACCAAGAGCCAAGTAAACGGCTTCATCTCTTCCCTAAAAATACAGTCTTGCTTCTTTGGCCAGCAGTAAACTAGAAAAATGTTCATCTTCAGGTACGGCTGCAGAGACAGCAGTAATTATGTCATTGTGCCAGCCACAGCTGCATACACCAGCAGCTGTTTAGGAGAACACCAGTATTCAGAAAAAGCCACTAGCTGCTGGAAGGAATGGAGCTCCCTCAGCCTCTCTGCAGATGGCTGAAGCCTGGTAGGGATTGTATGCCATGAAATATCTATTTGCCCTTGTTGTTTTTTCACCCTGAACCCCATTACCCTTCCCCACCCCACCCCAATTCTTCTACATCAAACAGCAGTGGCTGGAGATCTCCATCAGCTGACTGCTTACTCTTGATTCACGTGTCATCATTTTAATCAATGCTTCTGCTTCCAATGTACATCCAGCAGAGATGCATAAGCTTGCCACTCAACATACAGAGCCGCAATGGCAGACGCATTATTTCATCTTCTGTGGCTTCAAGCCTGGGGTATAAATACCTCTGGTTTCAAATTCACATGACTGTATCTAGTAGATGAAGATTAGCTCTTGATACTGTCTTCCAGATTTAGTTCCTCCCATCCTTTAAAAAGAAGGCACTTCACACAAGCTCTGAGCCTCTGTGATGCAGGCAGCCCATCACCACAGTTGTTTTTCCCATAAACTCTGGTTCCATGTGCACTGGAGAATACATGCCACTGCACAGGCCTGAGTGAAGCACATCCGTGACAGCAGTTCATGTATTTATGTGCAGGCCAAGGGCCTCAGTTAGAACCTGCAACTCAACATCAGATGAAATTAAAAACATGCATAAAAAGCTCAGCCTTTTATTAATGTTCTGCATGGCCTTTTTTCTCCCCCAAGCCAGGAAAGAGGTGGCTTTATTTTTCTGTTTTGGAGGAAGTCTATACTGATGAAAGTAATAAGGAAAATTTAAATCAGCTGCTGGTTTTGGTGAGGGTCTTGGATAGCAAAGAACGGACAATTGTTAACACAAATGTTTCAATGAGAATGCCTTTTTTTTTTTTTTTTTTTTCCTTACAGCATTTGTAACTCAAAAGTTTACATAGCTTGAAGATCATTCTTTGTTAAGAAACAAAGTTCTGGTAACATTCCCATCTCATTTCCTAACTTGCCACGTCCTTTTCTCTCTGCCATTTTTAAAAGCACCAGTGATATCATGAAAACCCAACAGGTTAATTATTGAAAGCAGAAGAAAAAACATTTAGAATGCAAAATGCTTGCTTTCCTCTCTGCAACTCATTGTTTCCCTAAAGCTATGTCTATTTTAAGTGGCACTACACCAAACCATCTGAACACTTGGAAAGTTTGATGTTAGCAGGCTCTGTTTAAGTCACAAGTTCTTTGGGGCAGAGAATTTTTCATTTATGCATAATTGCCTTACCAAGCTTGTCCCATATCCAGCCAAAGACTAAATCCATAAAAAGTCTACAGACAAGATTAAATATATATATATTTTCCCCACAACATTTTAAGGAATATGAAGGGACAAGTTCTCATGTAGACATTTCCACACTGAAGCCATTATAAACACTGCTACAATGGAAAAAGCAACCTGAAACATCAAGTCCAATCAACAGCAGAGGAACTCAACAGCTTCTTAACTAAAGATCAGACATGAACAATGTCTAATCCAATCAGTATCAATATTATCCCAGTTCCCCATCGCTTTCAAGAAATTTCTTCCCCACTGATGCACACAGCAGGACAACAGCATACAGATAACACATGAACTACTGTGCTGACTGTCACTTCTGTGCTTTGGAGTTGTCCTGATTGAAGAACAGATGCATTGTGCTCCCTATGAACACCCAGCAGGGAAATTGTACTGACCTGCTTGCAATTGTGTTAAGATTTTACTGCATTTGCACATTGATGTAAATTGATCGATTATTGAAAGACGCACAGAGTTCATCCTTTCTGAAAACAAATGAGAATTTTGTTTCCTTCAGGGAAAAATAAACAAATACATTCGACAGATTTTGCCAGATATATTCACTTCTCCACTCCTCCTCACTATCTTGTTTTATTCAAAAGGAACACTGCTTGTTGCTTGGAATGCTGCTGCTGAAGAAACGGAAGCTCTCCCAACTTGACAAACACCAAAGTCAGAAGACAGGCTACATGTGTTTCCACAGCCTTGTACTTGTTGCCTGAGGTCAGAACTCTGAGGCTGTGTGACAGCTCACTAGCAGGCAAAGGCAGCTCTGTTAACTCTACAGCATCAAGCAAATACAATCCCTGAGATAACTAAAGTTCACAGAATTTTGCAAACTTCCAACTTTCTCAGGGACCAAACAGTAAATCTGCAAGTGGCAACCAAAGTAGACGCGATTCAAGAAAGATAGGTAAGACAATTACCTTTGTACATATTATCAGTCCCTTACAGCCAAGAGATGGGGCTCCTCTGGGTAGCCAAACACACTGACTTCTCTGCTTAGAGATGGGGGACGGAGAGGAATTTGCTCCATATCTCAGCTCAGGCCCCTAATGTGCTAGCAAGTGCTTCAGAGCAGTTTGTTTCATAGAATGACCAACTCAACAGCTTAACAATTCCAAAGATACATTCATTCTCAGCATAATTATAGCTTTTGTTTCCCCAGACATTAGAATGAGAAACTAAAGAAAGCTCAAAAAGCAACAAAACTAATTACTTTGACCTAATACTTAATTTGCTTTGCCATCACCAAACCACCCACCACCCTGCAGATTCAAGATCGTCCCACCAACACATGGCGAACAATAATTTTTAGTTCCACCCGTACGTAGAATAGAAGGTTCATCTCTAGAAGTATGAAAACCAATCTCGACTCATCCTGTCTTACTAATATGCGTGAGTCCTTGAAGGACTTGAAGATTCCCCATGACAGGGGGGCTGGAACTAGGTGGTCCTTGAGGTCTCTTCCAACCCAAGCCATTCTATGATTTCATCTTCATAAGCCTACTGTAAAACTCTCAACAAAGCAAACTGGAAAGCCAGCTAACAGCAATAGAAAGCCAGTTAATAACAATTTTTGTTCTTACTACTGTCTCCAACTTCTTCACACCATAAACTCAGTCATGTTTATTCTGTTGAACCACCAATGCATTTCTACAGAAGTCTGAGTGGAAACAGTAATTTATAAACACTGACACCAGAGGCTGTATACAAAACCCATATGTGGTCAGCTCACTCTGCATCGCACTCCAGGCTCTATGAAACCTTTTTACTAAGGGACAGTGGGGAATGGGAGAGACATGATGAGGACTCCAAAGACTAACATCTTTGATTAGTGCTGACCTTCAAATGAACTCATCTGTTAAACAACAAGATGCAAGAAACCTTGCATGAGAAATTATTTCACGGTTAGCAAGTTCCAAGGGTCTCAAAGGAATGCTTAGTTCTACATTCTATTTTGATCAGCAATGCTCCTGACAACTGCAAATTGCCTGAAAAAGGAAACCAACTTCTATTTTGAAAAGAGAAAAAGAATAAACATTACAATGATGAACGTGAAGGACAAGCTGTTTACATACAGCCTATTACCACCCAAATGAAAGGGCAAAATTTTTACGTAGATAGCAAAAAAAAAGTTGTCCTCTTTTTCAGTAAACCTAGAACAGTTCATATTTTTCCATAATAGGCAATATTTAAAACTTCCATACATAGTTGCAGCTCACAATCCTCTGATAAAGCAAAAAGAGAACCTGAAGTCCCATGAAATATCAAACAAAATGTACATAGATAACAACCTAAACTGCTACAGTTTAGGTCCAGATTTGTAGCAATTCTACAATCACACAACAGCTGCAGAACATCACTCCATTCTAGAAGAATATTATATTCAACAAACACTGTTTTGCTTAGTGATCTGCTAATTGGAAAACACATCCTTGTGTTTACGACAGAGCTATTTACATGCAAGAATATTGCACAAGGGGGTGAAAATACAGTTTCCCATCAGTTCATTAACTGGTTTGAAAATAGACCTCACCAGCCTGGGTAGGGATCAAGTCTGGGCTCAATTTCCAGCTTTGCGACAGATTTCTGAATGCTCTTGGGCAAACATCTTGTTCTCTGTGTTAGATGGATTTAACTATGGAATCAGAATAGTTTTTACCTGCACCAGAAAAGATGTCCAGTGCATACAAAAAACTAGAGGAATTGTGGTCCTGCTATACAATTCAT